ATATAGTTCTTTGCCTATTCGTGCTTACGACTTGATTTATGATGAATTTTATCGAGATAACAATCTGCAAGACCCTATTGGCATAACTACCGATTTAATGTACTTTTCAGGTAATGAGTTTTCAGGCACGCCTTATTTTATTCCGACACAGTCAGGTAATGGCACTAAAGAAGTAAAAGGCATGTTTGGATATGCAAACTATCTTTGGGATACTACTGATCAATGCGCTACACTTTACAAGCCTTCTGAGTTTCAAAGTGTAACACAACGAACAGCCGTTGACTATTTCATGCGTTATGCAAGTTTAAAGCCTATCTCACGTCAAATTGATTTTACTAATGGTGGTCTCCCTTGGTCTCAAAAAGGCAAGCCTGTTGAAATTCTTATGCCTGTTAATATTGATAGTTGGACTTCCGACGAGCCTTTCACTCCGACAAATCCTACAAAAATATTGCGTTTGAAACCTGACGCAAACCCTAGTAACACAGGTACACTCGGAGTGACTAGTCCTGAAGGAGTACTTCATCCTGCTGATGTTTCTTTGACGTCTCAAGTTGGTTTCGACTTTCGACAGCTTCGTCTAGCATCTGCTTTGCAGAGAATTATTGACAAAGATAGCCGTTTGTCAGGTAAGCCTTTTGAGTATTTCATCTCGCACTTTGGCACAGCCCCTGAACATATGAAACTTGCCCGCCCTCTCTATCTTGGCGGTACATCGTTTACTACTAATCTTTCATTCGTTGCGCAAACCTCTGAAAGCACCGAAACAAGCCCTTTAGGTAATTTGGCAGCAAACAGCAATGGCGAAGGGTATTTGGAACAAATCAAGTATCACGCACAAGAGTATGGCTATATAATCGGTCTTTTGTCGATTAGTCCTGAAAATACTTATACCTTTGCAACTCGCAAAGAAATGACATGGACTGACATAGATAGTTTGCCTATGCCTGAACTTGGTTGTATTGGCGAAATGCCTGTAAAAGCAAGTGAAGTTTGGGCAACTAACGACGATAGCGACTATAACTATTTGCCTAACTACACTTATTTAAAGCAACACCTATCTAGTGTCGGCGGTGAGTTTCTCACCTCGTTTCGTGATTGGATACAGCCGCAGCGAAATCACAACTACATTTTGCACAAACGATTTGAAAGTAATTATGATGAATTAGCTTTGACTTCTGCCATGCCTTCGTCTAATGAGAAAATAGGTTTCAATTTGACCTCTCGTTTCCTTTCACGTTCAGTTTATAACCCTGTTTCAGTTACAGGCAAAATCTACGTTGTAGGAGATGAGATTTTGAGCGACATATCAAACTACGTTCGAAATGTAAGAGAGCCGAATTGCGAACATTACAATGATTATTTTTCAGATTGGGATAGAAAGCCTTGGTTGTATGGCGACGCACTCGACAATGCTTATAATTGTTTCCACGACACGAGCCACGAAGTTGATCACTTTATGTGCGAATATTCTTATGATTATAAAGTATTGCGTAATTTGCCAAAGTTTGGCGAACCTGTGATTTTGAATTAACAAAATAGCAATTTTTAAGCACCTGTAAAAGGGTGCTTTTTTTTGGTCTTTTTTTAAAAGACACCCCTCTTGATAATAAAGGATTTGCGACACATTATTTCAAAATAGCAGTTCTTCGCATGCGGTAATAGTTAGCAGAGCCCAAGAGCCTTTCAAAAAGTGATATAAAAAAATTAGTACCGAGGAACGAGGATCTAATTTTTTTTTATATCACTTTTTGTTATTAAAATACTTGTGCCTTTGGCACACCTTATCCGCAAAATAAAAACGCACATCCCCTGAAGGTGTCTTTTATCCGCATGCGTTTAAAAGCCCCTTCGCCCTGTCGCCTTGTGCGAAAAAGTTATAAATATATCAATATATTAAAGGGTTCTATAAAGAATTTCTATTTATTATTTGAAGCTTGCGGAAAATATAAAATATAAATTTTTTATAGGTTCATTTAATATATAGATATATTTAATATAATTTGCACATGGTGTACAGGTCGATACGGGCTTAACGTATGCGGATAAATGATACCTTCGGGAAAGTGCGTTTTTATTTTGCTGATATCTAATAAAAAACAAACTTTATTTAAAAAGTTTTTAAGTTTTTTGTTCTTTTTTTTTATTTTTATTAATTTTTATTACTAAATTTGCATAAAACATATTATGAATTATGTAACAAATGAAGGATTTAAGACTATAAAAATATATGCTAATCTCTAACTATCATACTTCCGTAAAAAATCAACTTCTGCAGTTGTGCTGTGAGAAGCCATTGCAGATTTTCAAGAAAGACGGAACTTACGCACTTTCCCGTTGTGGTTCTTGCCCTGCTTGCCTACGTAATAAAAGAAATGTTTGGGCAAGTCGTTGCAAAGATGAGCAATTAACCTGCGATTTATCTTTGTTTTTAACACTCACATATAATGACGATTGCTTACCTCGTATTGATTGGAAAGCTTATGGCGAACAAATGATTTTGAACGTAACCGCTAAAAACCTTCCTGACTATAAGTTACTAAACGAAAAGATATTGACACGTTCTTACGATATTAACGCTATTAAGCAATTTTGCAAACTCCGTTCCGAAAAAAAACAGGCAGAAAGGCTTTTTATAACTAAAAATCGTGAATTGCGATATATAAGTCTTTCTCAGCTTGATAGTTTACGTGATAATATGTTGTATAGAGCATCGATGTTGTTAGAAGATAATCCGATTAAAGACTATCAGCAAAGCACCACTAAACCGCCAATATTTGGACATGGTGTTCTTTTACCTACCGATTTACAAAACTTTATTAAAAGATTAAGAAGACATTTAGGTAACTTCTTTGAAATAACATACTACGCCTGTGGCGAATATGGTGGCGAGACTGACCGCCCCCACTTTCACGCTTTGTTATTTTTCCACAAAAGGCATATAGACGAGGTTAAAGCCTTACTCGTAAAGGATTATACTAATATAGGTCGTAACCATAACGCCGCTAAAGTGTCGCAAATCACAAATGACATAAACAGCATAAATGACGAAATAGAGTTATTTAAAAAATACTTATCCCCTTCTGCAAAAAAATGCATAACTACTCAGTTCGGTTGGGATTATCACGACGAGTTCAATTTTAAAAAATACTTCCTTTTTGATCTTATTAATTGCTTGTGGAAGTATGGCAACACAAAAATAGAAAATGCATCAAATCAGGCTAAATATATAGGAAAATATATCGGTAAAGGAGACCTTATAAGTATAAACAAACCTTATAAGACACACCCACACCAATACGAATTTCCTACATTTGTTTACATGAGTACTAAAAACATGCTTGGCAGAGTAAAGGCTAACACGTATTTAAATCGCATCGGCAATTCCCTTACCGATTTTATGTATCTCAAAAAAATGCCTTGTCAATTCGATTGGTTATATGAGCCTTCCAAAGATAAATTAGTGCATATTTCACAGCCCTATACACGTTATGTAAAACGACATCTTCACGAGTTCTTTGGCGTTAACAAATATAATGTTAATACTAGACAACTTATTTTAAGGTATTACGATTTTATCGACGATAAATTATCTATTCAACAAGATAGTAATATAACATATTCCGACGAATATATAATTACAACTATTAAGGCCTTTAATGACAATATCAGGAAAGTTGCGCAAACATCGCATGATAGTGATCACGATTACGACAAAACGCAAGTAAACTCTCACCGATTTGATTTAAGCTTATGAAATACAAGGAACCTGAATATTTTTTTTATCATAGTTTTTTACGTTCTTTACCTTCAAAATGTACATATAATATACTGACGTTAACAAAAGAAGGTTATCCAATTAGTAACGGCGTTAAACATCTTACCTCTGACGATTTCGTTAACTATAAAGAAACACTTTTAATAATGTTTCCTAATCTAATTTTCAAAAGATTAGATTTGCAACAATTCCGAAAATTGCAAAGAGAAACCGCAAACAATTATTTTAACAAACATATAAACGATTTTAAATTATGGTTACAAAAGTTTCATTTCCTCGAGTAAAACAGGAATTTTATGTTGAAAATGACAATGTTTTCACATGTCTAGAAGATGCAAAAGCACTTCTCAAGGATGACTTTGATAAGGTATGCACAGAGCCCACCGCCGAAAACCGCAAAGCTTTTGACTCTGCGCTTGGTCTCTTTATTGTAGAAGTTCTTGACGTACACCGACCACTAATATCTCAACATTTAGAAAACGATTAAGTATGATTTACATTTTAATTCTATTACTTTTCGTGATTGACTTTGCGTTGATTTATTACATTATTGATGTAAAATTATTCTTCCAAAATTATGTCGAAAGATTGGTAAAACAGGAAACGAAAATCCTTGACGTATTGTCTAATCATTTGAAAGATAATTTCGCCCATGAACGTAATTATGACGAAATAATGAAATAGTTTTATATTCTTTCCTATAAATTAATTTTAAGTTTAATAATAATCTGCTAATGTTGTGAAATATGGGCAGATTTAAATATTTTCTTGGCATGTTCCACGCATAAAAAAAAATGTTTTACGTATTAAAAATCTATAACTATAAAAGATATGAGAAATAATTTTGACAAAGCAGATCCTGCAACACGTTGTACTTGTCATGTGTCACGAACACTTCCAAATCAGGCACCGACTATCAAACGAGTACAAGGAGGCTACGAACTTAACCCACCTGTAGGAGAAGAGGATTACAAACCTACTTTCCCTGAAATTTATGATGATGAAAACCCATCATCAGTCGATCCTCTTAATACTATTTCCCTCGAATTAACCGACTATCCTACTCAATTCCAAAGAGGTGGCGAAATGGCAAAAAGAGTGCAAGAGGCATTACAGGAAAAAAACAATAACGCCCTCGATAACTCCCATAGCGATGATAGCGGAAAATCTATCAACATAGCAGACAAACAGGACTAATATGGGGTTATCCGATTTATCAAACATGACACCGCAAAGCGGTGCAGGTGCTGTCACTTCTGCACCTAATATGCAAAATGCAAGTGTAGCAGGTGGTTTACTTGGTCTTTTTTCTTCTATTTATACCGCTGAAACTAATAAGCAAAATACTTGGAAAACAAATGGAATGAATAGGTATATAGCAGAACAAAACAATAAACTTGCTAAAACCTTGTCAGACCCTGCTTACCAAAAATCACGCATGAGATTAGCAAATCTACGAGCAGATACAGGCAATATAAGCCCCTCTGTTCCAAATCTTGATACACCGACCATGACTGCACCGACCGTGCCAGAATTATCTACAGGTATAGCAGGCGGTATAACTGCAGGAAATAGCCAAGATAACCTCGAGTTAATGCGTCAAAAGTTACCTTATGAACTTGACATTTTGAAATCCCAAAATAAGATTAACGAACAGCAGGCAACTAACCTCGAAAATATCAATACGCATTACATCGACGAACTACAGGCTAAACTTACGCAAATTTATAGCGAAAACGAGAAAACAAGGCTTGACAATTCAAAACTTTCCCTTACTCTCTTTGGCATAGACAATTTCTACAACGAACATGAAAGCCCCCGTGCTTTCTTCAAAAATGGACAGTTGTTTATCATACCTCAAAATAACGACTATCGTTACCCATACGATAACCAAAACATGTCTCCTGCTCGTACCTATATTTTTGATAGTGGCTACAATTCGCAAAATAAATTCGATGTCCCTATGCCAATAGAGGACTTGCTTACACGTTCTTATGCTATGGCTTCATTAAGCCTTATCAAAGCACAAGAAAAGCTTGTATCAGCTCAAGAAACTTCTGCTATTGCATCATCGAATTTGTCAAATATCCAAACATCACAACAAACACTAGATTATAATCTTTATTCAAAGTTCGGAATAACAAAAAATGATGACGTTTCTTTGCGTGCTGTAACTTCACAAGCGAATTTGGATAAATTGACAGGTATTGCAAATTATTTTGGTCTTCGTGGCATGAGTGACACAGATTTACAATGTGCACTTGTAAATGCTATTATTATATTGCAAAAAAGCCCTAACATGAAGTTAAAAGACATTATTTATAAATTAAAAAATAAACAAAAATGAGATTTCCTGATTGGTTTATAACTCTCTTGACTATTATACAAATGCTATGCGCATGGCTTTTGTCAGTCTCCGAACCTGTTAAAACCGTATTATCAAACCTTTATATTAACATAGTATGATTCAAGCAAACGCACATCCTGATCTAGTAGCCAATGGCAACAGGCTAAACGAGTTGTTAAGCACACGCATCGAACAGCCTAATCAGACTTTATTTGATCTCTCTTTCCGTCGTTCATCGACTGCCAATTTTGAAAAACTGTACCCAATATTCTGCGAGCAACTTATGCCAAATGATGTGGCATACCTCAAAGCAAATCTTTACGTTCGTTCTCTTCCTCTTGCATCTCCTACCCTCACATCACAGCGTGTAAAGGTGCATTTCTTTTTCGTTCCTAACTGCTTGACGTGGAGATATTGGGATAGATTTGTGGCTAATGCCGACGAAAACGGACAAGCATTTGCAGATACTGACCGCCCACAGGTACCATTTTTCTATGCTGACGATCTTGCTCGAGTTGCAAATAAACATCTTTATGGCTTATGGGCTGAGCAAGCGAAAGAAGGTGCTTTGGTAAGAGATGAAGTACGTGACGTTTATAATTGGCTTAAACGCCCATTTACTTTGCCTATCGACGAGCAAAGAGCGCGTTATACTTACGAAAGCCTGTTCGGTATTAAGTCTCTTTTCGCCCATTTAGGCTACATGAATTTTGAAGAATATGCTGACCTCGAAGTTATTAAAAAATATCAAGGTGGAAATACTTCTGTCTCACACTACAAAGATTTCTATCTTGCAAGAGAAGAAGAGGACACTAAATTAAAATATAGTTCTTTGCCTATTCGTGCTTACGACTTGATTTATGATGAATTTTATCGAGATAACAATCTGCAAGACCCTATTGGCATAACTACCGATTTAATGTACTTTTCAGGTAATGAGTTTTCAGGCACGCCTTATTTTATTCCGACACAGTCAGGTAATGGCACTAAAGAAGTAAAAGGCATGTTTGGATATGCAAACTATCTTTGGGATACTACTGATCAATGCGCTACACTTTACAAGCCTTCTGAGTTTCAAAGTGTAACACAACGAACAGCCGTTGACTATTTCATGCGTTATGCAAGTTTAAAGCCTATCTCACGTCAAATTGATTTTACTAATGGTGGTCTCCCTTGGTCTCAAAAAGGCAAGCCTGTTGAAATTCTTATGCCTGTTAATATTGATAGTTGGACTTCCGACGAGCCTTTCACTCCGACAAATCCTACAAAAATATTGCGTTTGAAACCTGACGCAAACCCTAGTAACACAGGTACACTCGGAGTGACTAGTCCTGAAGGAGTACTTCATCCTGCTGATGTTTCTTTGACGTCTCAAGTTGGTTTCGACTTTCGACAGCTTCGTCTAGCATCTGCTTTGCAGAGAATTATTGACAAAGATAGCCGTTTGTCAGGTAAGCCTTTTGAGTATTTCATCTCGCACTTTGGCACAGCCCCTGAACATATGAAACTTGCCCGCCCTCTCTATCTTGGCGGTACATCGTTTACTACTAATCTTTCATTCGTTGCGCAAACCTCTGAAAGCACCGAAACAAGCCCTTTAGGTAATTTGGCAGCAAACAGCAATGGCGAAGGGTATTTGGAACAAATCAAGTATCACGCACAAGAGTATGGCTATATAATCGGTCTTTTGTCGATTAGTCCTGAAAATACTTATACCTTTGCAACTCGCAAAGAAATGACATGGACTGACATAGATAGTTTGCCTATGCCTGAACTTGGTTGTATTGGCGAAATGCCTGTAAAAGCAAGTGAAGTTTGGGCAACTAACGACGATAGCGACTATAACTATTTGCCTAACTACACTTATTTAAAGCAACACCTATCTAGTGTCGGCGGTGAGTTTCTCACCTCGTTTCGTGATTGGATACAGCCGCAGCGAAATCACAACTACATTTTGCACAAACGATTTGAAAGTAATTATGATGAATTAGCTTTGACTTCTGCCATGCCTTCGTCTAATGAGAAAATAGGTTTCAATTTGACCTCTCGTTTCCTTTCACGTTCAGTTTATAACCCTGTTTCAGTTACAGGCAAAATCTACGTTGTAGGAGATGAGATTTTGAGCGACATATCAAACTACGTTCGAAATGTAAGAGAGCCGAATTGCGAACATTACAATGATTATTTTTCAGATTGGGATAGAAAGCCTTGGTTGTATGGCGACGCACTCGACAATGCTTATAATTGTTTCCACGACACGAGCCACGAAGTTGATCACTTTATGTGCGAATATTCTTATGATTATAAAGTATTGCGTAATTTGCCAAAGTTTGGCGAACCTGTGATTTTGAATTAACAAAATAGCAATTTTTAAGCACCTGTAAAAGGGTGCTTTTTTTTGGTCTTTTTTTAAAAGACACCCCTCTTGATAATAAAGGATTTGCGACACATTATTTCAAAATAGCAGTTCTTCGCATGCGGTAATAGTTAGCAGAGCCCAAGAGCCTTTCAAAAAGTGATATAAAAAAATTAGTACCGAGGAACGAGGATCTAATTTTTTTTTATATCACTTTTTGTTATTAAAATACTTGTGCCTTTGGCACACCTTATCCGCAAAATAAAAACGCACATCCCCTGAAGGTGTCTTTTATCCGCATGCGTTTAAAAGCCCCTTCGCCCTGTCGCCTTGTGCGAAAAAGTTATAAATATATCAATATATTAAAGGGTTCTATAAAGAATTTCTATTTATTATTTGAAGCTTGCGGAAAATATAAAATATAAATTTTTTATAGGTTCATTTAATATATAGATATATTTAATATAACTTTGCACATGGTGTACAGGTCGATACGGGCTTAACGTATGCGGATAAATGATACCTTCGGGAAAGTGCGTTTTTATTTTGCTGATATCTAATAAAAACAAACTTTATTTAAAAAGTTTTTAAGTTTTTTGTTCTTTTTTTTTATTTTTATTAATTTTTATTACTAAATTTGCATAAAACATATTATGAATTATGTAACAAATGAAGGATTTAAGACTATAAAAATATATGCTAATCTCTAACTATCATACTTCCGTAAAAAATCAACTTCTGCAGTTGTGCTGTGAGAAGCCATTGCAGATTTTCAAGAAAGACGGAACTTACGCACTTTCCCGTTGTGGTTCTTGCCCTGCTTGCCTACGTAATAAAAGAAATGTTTGGGCAAGTCGTTGCAAAGATGAGCAATTAACCTGCGATTTATCTTTGTTTTTAACACTCACATATAATGACGATTGCTTACCTCGTATTGATTGGAAAGCTTATGGCGAACAAATGATTTTGAACGTAACCGCTAAAAACCTTCCTGACTATAAGTTACTAAACGAAAAGATATTGACACGTTCTTACGATATTAACGCTATTAAGCAATTTTGCAAACTCCGTTCCGAAAAAAAACAGGCAGAAAGGCTTTTTATAACTAAAAATCGTGAATTGCGATATATAAGTCTTTCTCAGCTTGATAGTTTACGTGATAATATGTTGTATAGAGCATCGATGTTGTTAGAAGATAATCCGATTAAAGACTATCAGCAAAGCACCACTAAACCGCCAATATTTGGACATGGTGTTCTTTTACCTACCGATTTACAAAACTTTATTAAAAGATTAAGAAGACATTTAGGTAACTTCTTTGAAATAACATACTACGCCTGTGGCGAATATGGTGGCGAGACTGACCGCCCCCACTTTCACGCTTTGTTATTTTTCCACAAAAGGCATATAGACGAGGTTAAAGCCTTACTCGTAAAGGATTATACTAATATAGGTCGTAACCATAACGCCGCTAAAGTGTCGCAAATCACAAATGACATAAACAGCATAAATGACGAAATAGAGTTATTTAAAAAATACTTATCCCCTTCTGCAAAAAAATGCATAACTACTCAGTTCGGTTGGGATTATCACGACGAGTTCAATTTTAAAAAATACTTCCTTTTTGATCTTATTAATTGCTTGTGGAAGTATGGCAACACAAAAATAGAAAATGCATCAAATCAGGCTAAATATATAGGAAAATATATCGGTAAAGGAGACCTTATAAGTATAAACAAACCTTATAAGACACACCCACACCAATACGAATTTCCTACATTTGTTTACATGAGTACTAAAAACATGCTTGGCAGAGTAAAGGCTAACACGTATTTAAATCGCATCGGCAATTCCCTTACCGATTTTATGTATCTCAAAAAAATGCCTTGTCAATTCGATTGGTTATATGAGCCTTCCAAAGATAAATTAGTGCATATTTCACAGCCCTATACACGTTATGTAAAACGACATCTTCACGAGTTCTTTGGCGTTAACAAATATAATGTTAATACTAGACAACTTATTTTAAGGTATTACGATTTTATCGACGATAAATTATCTATTCAACAAGATAGTAATATAACATATTCCGACGAATATATAATTACAACTATTAAGGCCTTTAATGACAATATCAGGAAAGTTGCGCAAACATCGCATGATAGTGATCACGATTACGACAAAACGCAAGTAAACTCTCACCGATTTGATTTAAGCTTATGAAATACAAGGAACCTGAATATTTTTTTTATCATAGTTTTTTACGTTCTTTACCTTCAAAATGTACATATAATATACTGACGTTAACAAAAGAAGGTTATCCAATTAGTAACGGCGTTAAACATCTTACCTCTGACGATTTCGTTAACTATAAAGAAACACTTTTAATAATGTTTCCTAATCTAATTTTCAAAAGATTAGATTTGCAACAATTCCGAAAATTGCAAAGAGAAACCGCAAACAATTATTTTAACAAACATATAAACGATTTTAAATTATGGTTACAAAAGTTTCATTTCCTCGAGTAAAACAGGAATTTTATGTTGAAAATGACAATGTTTTCACATGTCTAGAAGATGCAAAAGCACTTCTCAAGGATGACTTTGATAAGGTATGCACAGAGCCCACCGCCGAAAACCGCAAAGCTTTTGACTCTGCGCTTGGTCTCTTTATTGTAGAAGTTCTTGACGTACACCGACCACTAATATCTCAACATTTAGAAAACGATTAAGTATGATTTACATTTTAATTCTATTACTTTTCGTGATTGACTTTGCGTTGATTTATTACATTATTGATGTAAAATTATTCTTCCAAAATTATGTCGAAAGATTGGTAAAACAGGAAACGAAAATCCTTGACGTATTGTCTAATCATTTGAAAGATAATTTCGCCCATGAACGTAATTATGACGAAATAATGAAATAGTTTTATATTCTTTCCTATAAATTAATTTTAAGTTTAATAATAATCTGCTAATGTTGTGAAATATGGGCAGATTTAAATATTTTCTTGGCATGTTCCACGCATAAAAAAAAATGTTTTACGTATTAAAAATCTATAACTATAAAAGATATGAGAAATAATTTTGACAAAGCAGATCCTGCAACACGTTGTACTTGTCATGTGTCACGAACACTTCCAAATCAGGCACCGACTATCAAACGAGTACAAGGAGGCTACGAACTTAACCCACCTGTAGGAGAAGAGGATTACAAACCTACTTTCCCTGAAATTTATGATGATGAAAACCCATCATCAGTCGATCCTCTTAATACTATTTCCCTCGAATTAACCGACTATCCTACTCAATTCCAAAGAGGTGGCGAAATGGCAAAAAGAGTGCAAGAGGCATTACAGGAAAAAAACAATAACGCCCTCGATAACTCCCATAGCGATGATAGCGGAAAATCTATCAACATAGCAGACAAACAGGACTAATATGGGGTTATCCGATTTATCAAACATGACACCGCAAAGCGGTGCAGGTGCTGTCACTTCTGCACCTAATATGCAAAATGCAAGTGTAGCAGGTGGTTTACTTGGTCTTTTTTCTTCTATTTATACCGCTGAAACTAATAAGCAAAATACTTGGAAAACAAATGGAATGAATAGGTATATAGCAGAACAAAACAATAAACTTGCTAAAACCTTGTCAGACCCTGCTTACCAAAAATCACGCATGAGATTAGCAAATCTACGAGCAGATACAGGCAATATAAGCCCCTCTGTTCCAAATCTTGATACACCGACCATGACTGCACCGACCGTGCCAGAATTATCTACAGGTATAGCAGGCGGTATAACTGCAGGAAATAGCCAAGATAACCTCGAGTTAATGCGTCAAAAGTTACCTTATGAACTTGACATTTTGAAATCCCAAAATAAGATTAACGAACAGCAGGCAACTAACCTCGAAAATATCAATACGCATTACATCGACGAACTACAGGCTAAACTTACGCAAATTTATAGCGAAAACGAGAAAACAAGGCTTGACAATTCAAAACTTTCCCTTACTCTCTTTGGCATAGACAATTTCTACAACGAACATGAAAGCCCCCGTGCTTTCTTCAAAAATGGACAGTTGTTTATCATACCTCAAAATAACGACTATCGTTACCCATACGATAACCAAAACATGTCTCCTGCTCGTACCTATATTTTTGATAGTGGCTACAATTCGCAAAATAAATTCGATGTCCCTATGCCAATAGAGGACTTGCTTACACGTTCTTATGCTATGGCTTCATTAAGCCTTATCAAAGCACAAGAAAAGCTTGTATCAGCTCAAGAAACTTCTGCTATTGCATCATCGAATTTGTCAAATATCCAAACATCACAACAAACACTAGATTATAATCTTTATTCAAAGTTCGGAATAACAAAAAATGATGACGTTTCTTTGCGTGCTGTAACTTCACAAGCGAATTTGGATAAATTGACAGGTATTGCAAATTATTTTGGTCTTCGTGGCATGAGTGACACAGATTTACAATGTGCACTTGTAAATGCTATTATTATATTGCAAAAAAGCCCTAACATGAAGTTAAAAGACATTATTTATAAATTAAAAAATAAACAAAAATGAGATTTCCTGATTGGTTTATAACTCTCTTGACTATTATACAAATGCTATGCGCATGGCTTTTGTCAGTCTCCGAACCTGTTAAAACCGTATTATCAAACCTTTATATTAACATAGTATGATTCAAGCAAACGCACATCCTGATCTAGTAGCCAATGGCAACAGGCTAAACGAGTTGTTAAGCACACGCATCGAACAGCCTAATCAGACTTTATTTGATCTCTCTTTCCGTCGTTCATCGACTGCCAATTTTGAAAAACTGTACCCAATATTCTGCGAGCAACTTATGCCAAATGATGTGGCATACCTCAAAGCAAATCTTTACGTTCGTTCTCTTCCTCTTGCATCTCCTACCCTCACATCACAGCGTGTAAAGGTGCATTTCTTTTTCGTTCCTAACTGCTTGACGTGG